CCAGCACCTCAGAGGCAGAGACAGAGCACCCTCAGGGTGAGCTGAGATGACACTATCCAGCATCAGCAAGCTCGGGGTTCAATAAGAGATCCTGCCTCCATGATTGAAATGGTGGGTGATGAAGACAAGACACCTGATTGTCAACCTTGGGCCTCCACAGGCACAAGCCCCACCCACTCACACATATATGCCCACACCCATGCGAACACACAGAAATGCAAATGCACATACCACACACACACACACACACACACACACACACACACACACACACACACACACACACACAGAGGAGAAAATAAGATGGATGGTGTTCACGAGACACAACAGTCAGGATCATCTGCTGGCCCCTACACACACACACACACACACACACACACACACACACACACACACACACACACACACACGGTTTTTAAAGGGGGAAGACATCCATCTTTGGTTTTAATTAATACCAGCTTGCTCATCCCGACTTGTAATACCGTCACCTCATTTGTCTTATTAAGTACTTAGTTTTGCTTTTAATTAGTGTTGTTTATTGTCACTGAGTTTTAATTACCAGTGCAGGGTCCCTTTGGGGAGGATGCATCTGATGGCAGAGCCTAGGGGGCAGTCAGAGGACCTCCTGTCATCTGGATGGGGACTAGTGTTCATTTTTCAGGTCCCACCAGCTCTGGTTGCCTTTGGAACCCCTGCTTGCTCCAAGCTGACATGGGACCCCGAGGACACGAATGCAGGAGTGTTGCAGTGGCAAAAATTCAATTCAAATTTGACTTCATTGGCTTATGATAGCCAAAATGACAAATATGGGTTCAGGCATGGTGAGATCCAGCACCCCCCATCCCACCGGTGCACCATGGGGTAGCAGCCTTTCGCCATCACCCTGCCGCAGGCTTTCTCTGTGAGGTGGATTCAGAAGACAGAAAGAAAATCACCGGGCTACGGAATTCTAGCAAAGCTTTCACTGGCCCAGATCAGGTCACATGCTGATCCCCGAGCCAATCACAGCAGACCAACTGATTGACCAGAAGTGGGCCATAGGACCACCTCTAAGGACAGAACAAGGTGAACCCCACCTGAGTCTCACTGGTGGATATTGAGAAAGGAGACATTTGGAGGGAAAGCTGGGGTGCTCTTATCCCCACCCAAATACTAAATAAGAGAGATGTGTGGACTGGAAAGATGGCTCAGTCAGTAATGTGCTTGCCCCACAAGCATGAAGACCTGAGTTCAATCCCCAGGACCCACATAAAAAGATAGGTATGGCAGTGCCTGCCTTAACCCTAGCAGTGGAGCCAGGGCGGCAGGCAGATCTCTGGGACTTGCTAGCCAGCCAGCCTCGTGCAACCTATGTGCCAACGAAAGACCAGTGGACAACTCCTGAGGAATGACACCTAAAGTTGACCTCTGACCTATACACACACACACACACACACACACACACACACACACACACACACACAAGCACACACAGAGTGCACGCCAGGTATCTATTGCACCTTTACTCAGACCTCCAACACCCCAAAGACAGACATTTTCTCACCTCTCCCAGGTATACCGGGAACACAGACAGAGTGCTTCCTGGTTGGAGCCTGGAAAGCAAGTCAGCTGACAAGCCCTTTGTGGACAGTCAGTCACCCAAGAGCCTGGGAGTTGAGCGCCCTAGAATGTGAGTCCTCATTTCAGAGTGGGATAGCTTGCCAGGGTCACTTAGAGAAGGATCCCAGGGTTGGATGTGGGAGTTGGGTCTGAGCCAGCAACTTCTATCAGTCTGTATGTGCTGTGTAACAAACCACCCCTCTAGCAAGTGGCCCAGAGCCACCATGGTTGTCTTCCGACTCTCTAGGTCTCCCATCAGGCTGGGTTCAGCTGGGCAGATTTGGCTCACTTGGCTGGGTGAGTGACTCTTCCAGTGGACAAGATGAAAGGGGAGGGGTCCCATAGCGGGTCTTTCTGGGGTTTGAACAGTGGCTTTTGTGGCAGTCCAAGATGCAGGGTGGCCTAGGGGTCCACAAGGCTATGAGACAGCGGGCTGACTCTGATGTTTCATACATTTGTGTACTCACCAACCTCTGTGATCTATATGAACACTTACTGAGCACCAACTATATACCAAATGTAGGGGCTGGTTGCAAAATTAAGAATTTCTGGATCACTCATGCAAAGCTTATGAAGAGTCCCAGGAAAGGAGGACAGAGCTTTGAGCTTAGGGGTCTGGGTTACCTGCAGATGTGGGGATGTGGGATCCTTCTGTGCACAGTCTATACAGCTGCTTGGCTCATGGTCCATGAAGCTGGCCCCTTGTGCACTAAGGAGCCGCAGCTGAACAAATGCAGCCCTGAGCCTGGGACTTATGGCTCTTACTGACGAGGTGGAGAGATAAGCGTAGATAGCAGGAATACAAATCACATGCCATGCTAAGCTGTAGGATGAGGAGGAAAGGGACTGGGGAGAGGCTTAGAATGGCCAGGGAAGGTGTCTTCTTGGAAGAATTGGCACTTGAGTAGAGACTGTTTGGAGTCTGGCTTCCTTCTTTTAGCACAGGGCCCCCAAGGGTCACCCATGATGAGCAAGCATAACTGGTCATTCTGTCAGGTGTGGTGGGTTTGGGGTCACTTCCATCTGTGCTGTTAGGAAGGTCAGATTCCTGTAGAGAAGAGAGTTTCCACTCCTCCAGGGAGATGCCTAGAGGTGGGGTTGCTGGGCCAGTGGAATCCCTGTGTCTGACTGTGGAGATGTTTGACAAACTGTGATAAGTTGCTCAAGCTCTCCCTGACTGATGTGTGGAGGGTAAACTGATCCTGAGCAGGGCAGATATAGAGAGGCTTGAGTCACTGTAACAAAAAGCCCACCTCAGGCTGTGTGTGAAGTGGAGAAAGGTGTTCATGAGTCTGGAGACTAAAGTCAAAGACTGGGTGACCCCACAGCTGTGGCCTTTGGCACGGGCTGGCACGTCTGGGCAAACCACTCACACCACAGCCAAGAAACAGAGAAGTCACAGAATCAAGGCCCCTCATTCTTCTTCAAGGAAAAGGTCTCAATGTCCCCAACACCTTCTTAAAAGTCCACAACAGTCCCCCCAACAGCACCACAGTGGGGACCCGTGTCAGCAATGAACAGGAAGCATGCTGTCCCATCTCTCATCACTAGGTGGCTGAGACCCCCAGGGGTCACTGCCCCTTAGGGGTGCAAGGTTCTACACCTGGACAGTGGAGATCCTGGGTCAAGCTCCCTCCCTTTTCTGTGTCCCCACATGTGTGGGAGCCCGTTCTCGGGTTCCTCGTGGCTTTACCCAGCAGGTCCGCATAGAGGATGATTAGACCACGGGCCTGAGTGCAGGTGTCTGGGATGGTCTGCACTTGGCTGTGCTGGGGGAGGAGGTCTTTTGCTCCACCCCTTGGCGTCTCTATAAAAACCCTGGGACAGAGACAGTCGGGGCCCGTTGGAAAAGGTTCCAGGCCCTCTCGAGGCTATCCTTTATTTTCTATCTGTTTATCTCTGCAATATTCTACACAATATAAATCTTTCTATCTAATATTTCCTGCTGCTCGCACTCAAGAAAACGCTGGGGAAATGTGGGGTTGGTGGGTAAATGCCCACACACATGTGTGGCATAGAGTAGGGACTCATGAGCTAAGAGTAGCCAGATGATTGGGTAACCTAGAAGTGGCCTTTGGGGAGCCTGCTCCAAGGCCACCTCCAGGGTATGCAAAAAAATTCACGAATGCAGTGAGGGCTGGACTTTTTCTATCTGAGGGGTAAATAAGGAAACACATACTTTCTAATGGAAACTTACTCTCTTACTTAATCTTTAAAAATGCTCTCTGAAAATCTGTTTCCACACAGCTATACACTTCTTTTACACAGCTATACATCTCATCTACACAGCTCGCTCACCACACGGCCACATCTCTTCCTCCACATACATCTCTCCTACACACATACATCTCTCTCCTACACAGCCATATATTTCTATATACAGTCACATCTCTTTTTTACATAGCTGCACATCTCTCTTCTATACGCATTTCCTCTCTCTACTCTGCTGCACTCCTTCACTCACTATTACTCACTCACTCTCTCTCCTCCCTCTGCACACTCAGCTACATCTCCTTTTCAACACACACACACACACACACACACACACACACACACACACACACACACACACACACGCTTCAATAGCCAAACTCTGGACAACTATATGTTACATTTTCAGGGTCTGACCCATTCTCATGACACATGATAAGTCACCCAGTTTCTCTCAGGCTAGAGATGTCACACTGACCAGTCAGTGACTAATGCTTGACTGTGCACATAGCCTGAGTGGTCAGGGTTCCCAGACAGAAAGTGACATTGAAACCCAGGACCTAAGCAATAAACAATTAGTTGGCTGAATCTTGAGCCTAGGAGTATGTGCAGAAAGTCAATTACTGAGAGAATTATATCTACTTAAGTTGTTTTGTGCCTGACTTTGGTTTAACAGACACTTAGGAACTTGTCCTTGTGTTCTCTCTGCAGGGGCAGCTAGTCTCTTTCGAATTTGTTTTGAGGTCTTAGCTCAATGTGTGAAAAGCTGTCTTTGTGACTGAGAATACTGTTATTTTCCTAGGTCAGTTATGAAAAATATCCTAGTATTATTTCTATTCATCAAAATTATACAGATTAAGCAAAAATGCTCTTCCTGACCATCCACAGCTGTATGTGTGCCCAAAGATGGAGTATTTTCATGAGATAAAGCAGAGGGAAAACACACATAGCTGCTATTAGGGAAGGAATGTAGTGGCACATGAGAGAAATTACAGACAGAAGCAACCTGTCATTTACAGTCAGTGACCCTATGGCTTTGCCAAATGGGGCTCCCCATCAGGGAATTATTCATCTAGTGGGTCGACCTGCTGAACACTAGTTGCCACCTGCTGTATACTCCCATGGCCTCTGGTAAAGCCTTTGCTACCAGCAGCTCTCAGCAGTAACCATCTTGGGTGGGTGTTTTCCAGGTGTACCAGCCTTCCGCCATGACTGACACCGTGGTGAACCGATGGATGTACCCTGGTGATGGCCCACTTCAGTCAAAGTAAGTCTGCCATGACCCTGCAAGTAGCTCATTGGAGCTGGGCGTTCCTAAGCTTCATCTGAAGGGAGGAGAAGAGCCGTGGGTTTCCTTCCCTGGGCTAGGGGTGTGTGTGTGTGTGGGGGGGTACGTGTGTGTATGTATGTATGGGTGTACATATATATGTGAATACACATGTGTATGCATGCATGTGAGGCACAAAGTTGACATTGGACATCTTCCTCTATTGCTCCCAACTCTATTGATTAAGGCAGGGTCTCTCACTGCAGGGCTAGCTCCCTAGCTTCCCAGCCCCATGGTGGGTTTTATGGTATAAGCTTTTCAATTTTTCATATGCTCCATCATTCCCTATTGTGTCTCTAATAGGAAACCTATCATGAGTGTCTGAGTTGCCCATCCAGCCCCATGGGCACGGGTTAGAGATGGCCTCTCTGTCCTCTATGCCTCAGTGTGGTGTCTCTGTTGGACAGAATTTTAAAGACATCATAAGGTTGAAGTTCCTAGTTGGGAACATGATTATTTTAATGACAGGAACATGTGCCATGGGGGTGGAGGGTAGGGGGCTGTCTGCTGGTGGCCTTTGATGGCCCAAAGAATGCAGGAGGGTTTTCTGTAGGGGTTTCTGTCTGTTGCAAAAAGAAGTTTCCTTGATGAGGGGTGAAGTCTACACTTTTCTGTGGGTATAGGACAAAGGTTTATAGAGTGCTGTTCGGGTTTATGATGGTTTAGTAAATTAGTGGCTGTAGAGTCTCCTCTAATAACTGTGACTTCACTAGTATTGAGCAATTGGCTAGGTTTCCAGTACCAGGCATGATTTTCCTCTTGTTGAGCAGGTCTTTGAGGCCTGGTGGGCTTCCCCCCACCTCCATCCAGTTTGTCATGCTCAGTGGTATCATCCTTGTTCTGCTCACGTTTGGGTAGTCAGTTGGTGGGACTTTATGGGTGTAGCTTCTGACATTCCCAGGAGACACAATCTCACCGCAAACTTCCTGATCCTCTGACTCTTACACTTGTTTTGCCTCCTCTTCCTCAATGTTCCCTGAGCCTGAGGTGCGGGTGCGGGAATGTTTTGTAGGTGTATCCTTGGGGACTGGGCTCCGCAATGTTGCATTTTGATTGGTTGTGATTTTCTAAACATGCCAAACTGGACAGGGAAAGTCCCATGAGGCCTCTACCCTACACAAAGAACTGCAGACAACTGAGGGATGCCGGGAAGAGGAGGGGTGGGCCTCCCCAGGAAGAGCACAGCAATTGGTTGTCCAGTGCCAACAGCCCTGAAAACATAAAATACAAGTAGCATTATATGGACTCAACAGGTTACATTTATGGCTGTGTGTGTGTGTGTGTGTGTGTGTGTGTGTGTGTGTGTGTGTATGCAATAACACTTGATAAAAAAGAGGTCATGAATTTAACAGAAAGCAGGGGGGTATATGGGAGTGTTTGGAGGGAGGAAAGGGAAGGGAGAATTGTAATTAAAATACAACCTCAAAAATAACAAAGAGAACAACCCCCCCCCCCAAGAAATTTAAAAGAAGAGTGTAGAATAGATTTTCAACTAAGGTCACTTCTTATTAGGTGGAAAAGTGTGCCCATCCTTAGTCATATGGCCATATTGTCACAATTTTCTTCTTGTCTATGAAACACCCCCATTGCTATCTTTTTAAACTTGACTCATAAACCCCCACTTTTATTAAAGAAGAAATTGTTTTTCACAAGAGGATGTAAGTAGATATTACACACTTTCCAGGAAAGACAAAGTAATTATAAAAAATAAATAATGTTTACTAATTCTTTTTGAAACAATGTCATTATCATCTCCCTTATACTGTAGGGAAAATGGACCATTGAAAGAAACAGTTTTCAGAAGAAACTGTTACATCTGGTTATAGACTCCTGTAAAAATAGACAACTGAAAGAAACGCTGTAGGGATACTCTAGATTGTAGCAAAAATAGATAATTAAAAGAAACAGTGTTGTATGTAGAGGGAGAATCTAGCAGAAATAGATGAAATTAAATGAAACAATGTATGTGGGCCTAGCTCTATGTCTCAGCCTCCCAGACATTCCAGTCTGAGACATTTTAAGGCACACGATTTTTCATTATTTTTAGTATTTTTCTGCTCCTTTAAGCCTCCTGCTCTTTGATCAGTCTTTGTTTGTGTGTTGTGGGGTTTTGTTTTTGTTTTGTTTTGTTTTCAGACAGGATCTCATTCCATAGCCCAGGCTGGCCTTGAACTCACAATCCTCCTGCCTCAGCTCCTTAAGTGCTGCTGACATTATAGGTGTGTTATGAATGTGGCTCAGGTCTTTGATGAACTTTGAGTGTATGTTTCATGTCTTTGACCACATGATAACATCACCCATGAGCGATCACTCCTGGCTCAGCGGTGTGCCAATCACCCACAGGACTTCTTCACAATCGATGTGCAAATTTCAGGACCTTTGCAAGCCACTTACTGACCATGGCCATAACTGGAAAATTAATTGAAATAAATTTACAATCACACTTTGTTACACACAAGGTGATGAGTGCTTGAAATTAATTACATTTAAATGACCCAATGACAGGTTGATACTCTCTGCTATTGATTTATTATCCCTGGGTACTGTGAACGCTATATAGAGGGATGTCTCAGCCTATCCCCAGCTCCGAATGTCGTGTTGGCATTCTAGTCAGTCATAATGAGTGAGAACATTGCTAAGCATCTGCCACACCACCACCTGAAGTCCTTGACTGTCCAAATCTGCTGTTTACTGGCCCACATATTGTCTGTCCCATGTGGTGACATCATCATCATCATCATCAATATAAATAAATAATAATTATTACTGTTAGACAAGGTCTCACTCTATGGTGGTGGTTGAACTGCATGTGTCTGCGTGGGTGTGTGGTGGGTGCATGCACATGGGTGCAGTATCTATGGAGGCCAGAAGAGGGCATAAGAGCCCCCTGGAAATGGAATTATAGGTGGTTGTGAGTCACCATGTGGGTTCTGGGAACTGAACCCTGGTCCCTGCTCTTGAGCAGCCCATGCTCCTGATCATGGAACCATCTCTCCAGCCCCATCTCTGTGTGTTTTAAAGAGCAGGTCCATTATCATCTTGTCATTAAACTTGTTATTCAGGTTAAATGCCTTTGTTACAGAATTTTATAATTTCCCGCAGTCTGTGACTTAGGTTTTGTTTTTCATAATAAACTCTTCAGGAGGGAAACCATTTTATGTTTTGTTGAAATCTGTTTTGTCTGTTTTGAATGAAAGAGTTGAAGAAAAATCCCTTTCTAACAATTCTTGAGCAGCGATTATAAAAGCACAGCTTGGGGGATATGGCTCAGGTATTAGAGACAGCCCACTATACACAAAGTTTTGAGTAATACCCTACATTGTCTATAATGCCAGCACTAGGGAGGTGGAGGCAGGAGGATCATAAATTCAGTTCATCCTCAGCTACCTATAGAGTTTGGAGCCAGCTAGGCTACATGAGACCGTATCTCTAAAAAACTGGCTTTAATTTATTTGTTTAGGAACTAGTTAAATACCCAGAGAAGATTTTTTTGACCCACCCATATGCTCCAAAACAAAGCTCCTCCATCTGGGACCCTGGTTTGATTCCCAGCACCCACATGATGACTCACAGCCATCTGTAACTGTAGTTCCAGGGGATCCGATGGCTCGTCTGGCTGCCTCATACACCAGACATGTGTGTGGTACACAGACTTATGTGCAGACAAAACACCTATACATGTAAAATACAAATAACAATAAAGAAATTTAAAGTTCTCTGTTTCCCGGGTCTACCCATAGCATTCCCCTCTTCCCTGAACCCCTCTGGAAGATAGCACAGGATTCTGGGTGCTTCTCTGGGCAGGATGCCTTCTCAAGCATTTCCCTCAATGTTGTCTTGGACACACTTACTTCATAGATAATATTCCACCTACCAAAAAGTGTGTTTCTGTGAGATCAATAGTTGCCCAGAGGGTGGACAGGGTAAAATATTTATTTTATTTAAGAAACATGAGTTAATTAAAATCCCATCCATCAGCATTTACTTCCGTTGATAGGAAGCCAAACAATTTGCCTGGCGATTAAATTAGAGTGATTCTAGCAGTCCAGACGCGGCTTCATTAACCACTCTTGTGCTCCCATGATGCATCCTGGCGCTCTGAACACACCTGCTGCCTTGCTCGCTGTTCAACTTCTTCCAGACATTAAATAGAGGCTGAATTGCAGCCATCACACACACACACACACACACACACACACACACACACACACACACACACACACCATCGAGCCTGGCACCACAGCTCAACATGGGAGAAGACGATGTTCATGTCTTCCTCCTGGTGAGGAAGAATAGAATCTTCATCGACAGCTGCCTAACCAAAGAGACTGCCTGCTTTTGCAATTTTCAAAATTTCAAACCCTTCTAGCTCAGCCTCGGGGGACCTAGCAATATTGTTTGTAGGCACCAATGTGGGGCGGGAAAGAATGTGTGCATCTGTTCCTGTCTGGGTGGGATCAGAGTGAGGATACTCAGATGCTGTCAGTAGGTCTGCCAGCAAACAATGCCAGGGATGCTGGGTGGAAACTGAGGTACCAAGACAGATTGCCACCTGCCTGTGGAGGTGAAATGGGGGGTCTCCTTTATGAAGTAGACAGACTTGCACCTACCTCCACACATATTCTGCTGTTCAGGAGTCATGAACAGGATCTCCCACTGTTTGAAATAACACAGCCCAAGATGAGGAAAATCTGACTTCCATCAAATGACTTCCCTTAGTGTCACATGCAGACATTATTCAAATATATGAAATGGGGTCAGGGATGTAGTTCAGTTGGTAGAGTGCTTGCCTAGCATGTGCAGAGCCTTTGATTCAATCCTCAGAGCTGTATAAATATGGTGTGTGGACACCTGTGACCCCAGCATTGAGTAGGTAGAGGTAGAAAGGGCAGGGGCCTTTCAGGAGGATTGCTGTGAAGTCAAGGCCATCTGGGCTACATTTGAGACCTTGCTTCAAAGCAAGCAGATGAAAGATAATGACCACGCGCACACACACACACACACACACACACACACACACACACACACACACCCCTACACCTGAAAGTGGGCCATCAGAATTCAAACTATGACATTGCATCTGAACAATGTGGCAATGTGAGCATGATGATGGTTGTTTTTTTTTTTTTAAAAATTCATTTTATTTTTAACTATGTGTATGTGCATGTGTGAGTGCAGTACCCACAGAGGCCAGAAGAGGGCAGAACTCCTGAAGCTGGAGCTAGCAGGTGGCTGTGAGCTGGCTGATGAGGGATGCCGGGAACTGAACTCAGGTCCCCTTTGAGAGCAAGTACACACTCCTAACTGCCGCCTCTTGGTCCTGAGAATTCTTAGATAACCTCTCTCGTTTCCTCTTTCCCTCCTTGCTTGGCATGCCTGCAGTGACAAGGACCAGTAAGTATTTCACACCATTTTCATTTTTCGACAAGTTGAGCTGTGATGCTTTTCCTGACTAATGTGATGAGCTGGTAAAGAAGAGAATGAGCCAAGCATATATACATATGCGAAAAAATGTGTGTATTTCCTGGAAGGAAATATGAGATTTCAGAAGGCAATCCCATCTCGGTAGAAAGATGGGATGTGTTCCTGAGGTGAGCCCACTGTCGTGGAGATCCTGGGTAGTGTTTGGGACTTTGGGCGACAGTCTGGTGTTCGTGTCTGCCCCTGCAGAGTTTTGCTAGGAGTACAACTCTGGTCACTGCTGTAGTGATTGGGGCAGCTGTCTCTTTGTGGAGGTCACCCTGACTGCTGTGAGATGTGCCATCAGCTCCCAGCGTCTGGCTTTGCTCACCACATTTGTGTTTTGAATTAGATTCATGTACTAACTATGCGTGACAAATTGGATGTCGGGCCCAACAAAGGGGCTGCCAGGCAGCTCCATCTCAGTGACAAACACATCCAGACACTACAGGATGTCGTCGTCACTCTGGAATGACGAGGATGCTCAGACTCACCATCACTGTGACCTGATGGATCACACTGTCCACCATTTCTGGATCTTTAGACTGTCCTGTCTGTAAAGTGGGTTTGACAACCTGCCCTTCCCTATCAGTGGGTGGAGGAGCATTCATATGTAAACTGTAAAGCGTCAGCAATCAGATGGAGATGTGAATCACTGCCTTGTCTTCCTGTTGGTGGTTGTGGTGGGGGAGAGAACAGGCTTGAATGTTGGGTTCAGCCTCTTTGCATCCAAATAATCTTACCCTGAGTCCTCCAGGGAATTGCTGGAACCCAATAACACCTACTCAGGTGACCCCAGCCTTCTCCCTCTACTCTGGGCCTCAGTTTCCCCATATGACCTCTGGGAGAATCTGGTTATTCAGTGATCTCTGTGGTTGGCTAGTGGGACCCTGGTCAGGCGATCTTGGTTTTTTATAAAACCATGGATGTGTTACTGAGACGTGTCAGGGACAGGGGTTGAGGAGCTGTCAGATTAATGATGGGTGAGATGTCTCAGAGGGACAGGTGATGCGTGCCGCCTCTCACATGTGGAATCTGGACTGAAGTGTGTGTGCATGTGCACCCTGAAGTGGAGAAGGAACCATGAGCGGGAGGAAGAATGTCCAGGGAGGGGAGGATGATGGTGGACACACGGCATGAGAGCAGAAGGGAGCTCCACTTGGGAAGAGGAAGGGGAAAGCTGGGGGAAGAGGGCGTGGGGAGGGCAGCAGGGAAGAGGGTGAAGAGACTGAAGTGTGATCACATGTGTGCTTGAAAACACCATAGTGAAACCCGCTACTTTGTATGCTAACTTAAATGACTGTATATTTATTTAATGCATGTCTGTGCACCGTGTGCCTGTAGGAACATGTGGAGGTCAGAAGAAGGCGCCGGATCCCCTGAAACTAGAGTGATGGGTAGTTGAGAGCTGCCATGTGGGTGCTGGAAACTGAACCTCGGTCCTCTGCCAGGGCAGCCAGTGCCCTTTGCTGCCGAGTTGTCTCCCCGGCCCCTTAAACAATTAAAAACAAAACCGTAAATAGGACATCATCACAGGGCCATGACTCCACAGGGTCTCAAAGCTCACAGAGGCTTCCAGGTGCTGAAGGCTGGGAGAAAGTTTGCTCTCCTTCATGCCTCCCTCCCCTCTCCACCCCTTCCTCCCTTCCTCTTCTCTTTCTTTTCCCCTCCCCTCCTGTTCCTTCCTTCTTTCCTTCCTTTCTTAAAAAATATTGCCAGGAATGGTGGCGCATGCCTTTAATCCCAGCACTTGGGAGGCAGACACAGACAGATCTCTCTGAGTTCGAGGCCAGCCTGGTCTATAGAGTGAGTTCTAGGACAGCCAGGGCTTCATAGTGAGACCCTGTCTCAAGAAAGAAAACTGACCAAGTACCTACTGTATACCAGCTGCCATGCTAAACGCCAGAGACACATGCATAGCTCAAGGATGGGTGACACCTATTGGGGTCTACAATCAAACAAACCCATATAAGGAAAATACAGTTGTGGGACCCTAAAGAATATTATGTAGCCCAGACTCGGGGACCATGATGAGAGATTTTTCTAGGGAAAGAATGGTGTAAAGGTAGGCCAGATAAGGGCTGGGCACCCTGTGAGAGAGACATCGATCCATGTGGGTATCTTCATGTGAGAATGCAGCATTTCAGAGCCGCTGAGGGGGTAGATGGCTTGCACTTGAGGTCCATGGCGACTCCAGTGTCCCTCTGCATCCACTTTGGTGTCACCAGGATGAAATCTACGCAGAGGGTCCTTGCAGACCACGGATGAAAATGTCTCTTGGGACAGCCTTCCTGGTTCCTTCAGTAACATCTCCTCACTGAACTGCAAAGATGCCTTCCTGACCCCTGCAGTATGGGCATCCCAGGGAAGGGTGGGCGGGAGGGCAGGGACACAAAGGGGTTCATTTCGGCTGCTGTGGAGAAAGCTGCAGAGCTCTGGCACCCCAACAGCACTTCCATCATCCCATTCCTCTGGGGAGTCATCATGTATTAATAGAGACATCTGGCAGTCACGTGATGATCGTGTGCGTGCAATGAATGCAGGTGGGTGGTGGGAAGGGGGTGAGGTGTCCTCTGTGTGTTTCAAGGACAGACAGGTGGGCGGGGCTTCCAGGACAGTCACCCATCTCTTGTTGTCTGGAGTCCTCTGATGCAGGCTTTGGTGGCGGTGGCGACCTCCCACTTTCTTTAGGTGCAGGGACAGATGCGGCAGGGGCTGTTTCTGTGAGTGCCTGGCCATGCTGTCTCTAGCCTACATCAGTCCCTTCCCCCAAAGTGTCAGACTTCCAGGAAAGGAACATTCAATAATGGTGATCTTTCTGCTTCCATTAGCAGTGAAATTTTCTTTGAATAATATTTTATTCAAAAGCTAAATATTGGAGAGCAACAGGAATATAGCTGGGTAAAGACCTTCCGTGGCTGAGAGTATTCACAGGGAACTTTATATGGCCACGGTTTAAAAGGATACCGCTCTGTAAAGAGAACGGAGGGAGTCCGGCAGTTTGCCCTTTTTCCTCTCTGCTGTCATGTGTATCAGCTAGCTCCTGCTGTGTGACAAAACATCTTAAAGCCTTTTACTCCGCGATCCCCATTTACAGATGGCCCCAGTTATCTAACTTGTAAATAAACCCACAGAAATAAACACCCTACCCTCAAGTTCTTGACACTTAACCTCAGGTCGGGTTACCCAGGAATCTGTTTTCTCAGAGGACTGAGCTGGCAGGTATGGTGGGCCCTCTGGGCACATGATCCTCTGTGTATCCCTGTCTATGGATAACAGTGCTTCTGTCTCCAGCACTGGCTTTTAGCAAGTTCCTTGACAGAGTGCTTGCCTGCCATTCACGAGGCCCTAAGTTTGATCCCTGTCACCCTATACACTGGGCATGATGGGCCATACTGTAATCTTAGCACTCAGGAGGTGGAGGCAGGAGGATCAGGAATCCAAGGTCATCCTCTGTGACTTAGAAAGTTCAAGACCAGCCTGGGATGCCCGAAACCCTGTCAAAAAAGTAAACAACAACAAAACAAAAAACCCCAAACCAGGTTCTTAACATTGGACCCTGGTCTTGATGACACTAACTTGGCATCTGTCTTAGGGTTTCTATTGCTGTGAAGAGACACCATGACCACGGCAACTCTTATAAAGGAAAACGTTTGATTGAGGTGGCAGCTTACAGTTTCAGAAGTTTAGTCCATTATCATCATGGCAAGGAGCATGGCGGCGTGCAGGCAGACGTGGCGCTGGACTAGGAGGTGCTGCATGTTGATATGCAGGCAACAGGAAGTAGACTGGGACACTGGGTGGGACACTTGAGTGTGTATGAGACCTCAAAGCCTGTCTCCACAGTGGCACACTTCTTCCAACGAGATCACATGCACTCCAACAAGGCCACATGTCCTAAAGTGCCACTCCCCATGAGATTATGGGGGCCAATTACATTCAAGCTGCCACAGTATCCTATATGCAGAGACCCCACTGTCTTGTCCCAAGGCCCCCATGTCCACGAGGCTTCACAACCCAGGGGACTCCTTTTGTTCCCAGAGAGTAAAAGGTTTTGGTTGAAAAGCCCTTCTCATTTCCCTGTTTGCTTTGGGAATGAAAGCATGTCATTCCCCGGGAGGCCTGTGGGCTCCCACTGAGACCCAGGAGGAAGTTTCCAAACACCAGCTGGGCTGTGTGTGTGTCAACTGCTCGCTCTAGATCTGGGATAGGAGGCAGATTCAGAGGGAGCAGCAGCTTCCAGCCACCTTTCTGCTCCCTATAGTCTACAGAGGGAGGCAGTCTTCCTAGAGGGGACCTTGGGGACACATCCACTCTGCTCGTTTGTGTCTCTGAAGCCACACTTCAGCAGCAGCTTAAGCTCCTGGTGTGCACAGAGCCCAGCAGATTGTATGGTGGTGGGTGGGAGGGATGCACTGGCTGACCAGACTGCTTGCGACCAGACTGAACTGTAGAACATGTCCTTGGGGGGGTCTATACTGGGCCCCAGGTCGGGAATGTCCCTTGAGTTCAGAATGGAATTGCTACATAAAGGCAGGAAAGGAATGGAGGGGGATCCTGAGGGTTCATATTGATTGTGGATGTGGCAACAAGATCTAAGGTCACCTTGACCCTCTGAGCATCCCTGTGAGACGTTGGAGATTCGGTCAGTTGAGGTGGGAAGATCTGTTCCAAACATGGTCAGTTCCATCCCATGGGCTGGGGTCCTGGATTGAATACGAAGGGGAAAGCGAGCTGAGCACCAGTGTTCATCTCCTTCTGCTTCCTGACTCTGGATGTCATGTGACCCTCTGCCTCACATGCCTGCTGCTGACCGTGTCCACAGAAAACCGCAGGCCTGGAGAGATAGATGGCTGGGCACTGTGTGATGGGTCAGGAGCCATTGTGTCCTTCTCAAGTAAGGCGAAGAAACCTCGGGCTGGCCTCTCTTCTGGCACTCTCTTCCCCCATCCCCTCTTCCCTTGCTCTCCTAGCTCACCTCTGAGGTCTTGGCACAGCCTGGAGGGACCTGAGGTTTCTTTAAGAGTCTTTCCTCCAGAGGTAGGAGACAAGTCCCACTTTGCAAAAAGTCCTAAGGAATTGACCAATACCAGGACACCCCAGAGCCTGAGAGGGCTCTAGGTGAACACCAACTCTGAACTCCCCGTGTCCCCAGGATCCCAGGAGCCTTTTATCATCCGGGACAGTGGCCTGTGGTGCCTAGACCAAGGGGGAGGGGCATGCCTTGTTTCTACTCCCTCTGTGGACCACCAATAGAAGACTTTAACATCCCCTCTGTTCAGAAGAGTCTGGGTTCTAGTTAAGGTCTCTGTGTGCCCGTGTCCTCGGATATTGATCTGAGTGACAGGGCATGATAGTGATTAGGTCCCTGAAGTTCGGTGGGGAGATGGGGATTAACAGGTACCAAGAGCATTATTTAAGGATGGCCTCCGCTGGAGACGGATGGGATAGAGAGTTGGAACCTGGGCGGCAGGAGATGGTGTGCTGTCGCTTTGAGACCAGCGCTTGGAGGATGGCAGGGCTCCTGGCATGGCAGGAAGGGGCGGGGCTAGGGCAACCGTCCTGAGACAGAAACAAGGTTTGGGGGATCAAGTTGAGCCAAGAGACCAGTGTGGCTGGGACTCAGTGGTTGGGGAGCAGGGTGGGGTGTCAGCAGCGGGGCAGGGAAAACAGATGGGAGGGACTTGCCGTAGTGGGAAAGAGCACCGGGGCTCTCGAGGTCACATTCACAGACTTGAACACGAAGCATCTTAAAGAGCTGAATTTGGCAACATCTGGTGTGCTCACCATGTGGGGGGCCTGTCACGTCTGTCTGGTCCCGGGCTTCACTGTTAGTGAGGTGCTACTGTAGGGTCCAAGCCAGGCTGGTAGTGGGAACACCTGAGGCACCTGCTCCAGGCTGTGTCTGTGTTTCCATCAGATCTCTTCAAACCACATCTCCTTCCCTCCCTCATTAAGACCACTCAGGACATCTGCTCCCCTTCCCTCCAATCCTCCTCTGCTCTTCAGCAGTGACCTGATAGATGGGGGAAACGAGGAGGGGGAGGAGGGGTGGGGAGGAGGGAGGAAGAGAAGGAGGAGGAGGAGAGAACTAGGTTTTAATTCCCAATTGCTGAATCAAAAAGCAATTTTATGGCCCCCATGCCAAAGTGACCCCTGAGTCGGTAGCTCATGTGTCCTGGACTCTAAAGCTTTCCCAGATCTGAGTTTTCCAGATAACTAGGGAAGTCTGAGAGCTTCCTGGTTGGCATTTACCTCAGGAGAGTGGGCCAGGCCATCCATCAGGTCCACCTGGCCTGACTGTGTTCCCTGAAGCTATATGCATGGGGGGGGGGGTTGCATCTGGTTTAGAATCTCTCTGAAAACATCTTGCTTTCTAACTTTTCTTCATGCACATAGTCCAGGACACTTACTGAAATAAATGCGTCAGAGTGGGGTGAAGGAATGATGCATGTTACATTGTTCAGATAGGCAAGCTGAGGCTCAGAGGCACCATTCTGCCTCTGGGCCAGTGAGGCTCCCTGCAGAAGCTCCAGCCCTGGTTTTGCAGACCCCTGGGTCTCTGTCCTGACCTGCCTCATGCCTTCTCCTCAGCCTTTCCCAACCTGCCTCACGCCTTCCTTTTGGTCTCATAGGCTGCAGGCAGGATGGTCCGTCCATCCTGGAGCACAGACCGACAGGCAGAGGAACCAGGAAGAGCTGACAGATGAGGAGAAGGAGATCATCAACCGGGTGATCGCTCGGGCGGAGAAGATGGAGGCGATGGAACAGGAGCGCATTGGGTGAGGCCAGCTTTGCCGCCTCCTGAGGCTGCATAGTGATGCTGGGGTGGGAGCGCTTGACCATTTGTGATTCAGAATCCTTGTTGCATGAGGTGGCGATCTGACCCAGAAGGTGGGGAGGATGGAGGGCGTGTACTTGGGCTGGGATCAGGGCATGTCCAGGTTGAGTGTGCATGGAAGGAGGGAGGTCGAGCGGTCTGGAGACAGGGCAGAGGGGGGCTGACTGTGGAGGCTGTGCTGTGGGTGTGAACACTGGCCATCTTAGCTGAGAAGGAGCTCTAAAAGTACCGAATCCCCACTGAGGGCGGAGTTAGCGGAGAGAGTGAGTAGAAGTCACTGCATTTGACATTATAGGCAAAGGCTCAAAGGCAGGGCAGGGTTGGAGAAAGGGTTCATGGCTGGGGCAGGGGGCAGGACGAATGGCATTCAGTACCCTACAGTGCAGCCCAGTGATGGTGCATGACAATGAACTGAGTGTTTTAAAACAGCTGACAGAGAAGAGCTGATTATTCCCAGTGATGAGATGGACACACCAAGGATGCCCACCTGATCACAGCAGCTTATAGACATGTATCCAAGCATCACTGTGCATCCCATAAATATGTTAAAAAAGAGTGTGCAAGAACACAGCCCAGAGTAAGCTGTAGAGTTACACAAGCAACAGGCATATGGCAGGCGGGCATCGTGTGGGCAAGGTGGCCGAAGTGGGACCCGGTGTGGGGACACACACTCTGGGCTTGGAGGACCTGGAGTCCATGGTGGAACTGGAGCACAAGGATTTACCTCCCTGCTGACGGGAGGAAGGGCATAATGGCACCACAGGGTTCTAAAGAGGATAGAGCGAGATGATGGGCGTGCTCCAGTTGTAAGTGTGTTTAATGGATGGGAGGAAAGGGATAATGGCCTGTGGACGGGAGGGAGGCAGGGCTTGCAGGAAGCAGATATGGAAGAGAACAGAGTTAATACATGCTGGAGGGGAGTTGGAAGCTATGTGGGTGGGGAAATGTCAGGGATCATCAGGGGCAGGGTGATGGAGAAAAGGGGAGACTCTAGGCATGGCTACAGAGGGACCCACCCAGCAGTCCCTTACACTCCAGTCTCCAGGGGGAACTAGGGAGCTGCTGAGAAGCCTCCTCGCCTCTTATCCTCAGGAAATCTCTTACTGTCCTAGCGCAAAGTGGAACAGATGCATCCTGCTTGTGTGTGTGTGTGCAAAAGCCAGAGATAGAGTCCAGATGTCTTTCTCATCACATTCTACCTTTCATTGAGAAAGGACTCCCACCTACAGTGCATCCATTCAGCTAGGTTGCCTGGCCAGTGGTCCAGGGCACCGCCTTTTCTCTTACCCCTAAGCTCTGGCACTTAATGCTATGTGTGACTTCCATGGCTGCTGGGGATCACAGCAGGCTCATTATGCACTGGGCCATCTCCCCAGCCCTGCAGCTGTGTGTGGTGCCATTCCATGGGCGGGGGGTCCTGGGCGAGTGTATAAGGAAATAGCTGAGTGCAAACAGTTCTTCGGTCCTTGCAGAGAACCTGACCCGGCCACACTTTTATCTATGCCCTCTTTGTCCTCAACTTTAAAGGCACTCCCTCCTGCTTCCAGCACAAAGTCAGTGAGTCCCTGTCTTGTCCTCTGTGACCCAACACTGACTTGATGTCGTGAGGCAGAGCATCGCGGTTGAGAGCTAGGGTCCCCAGATCAGGGCGACTTAGGTTCAAATCCTGATCCTGCCATTGATTTTCTCTGTAACCTTACGGTAGCCGCTTTGCTCCTGTGCCTCAGTTTCCCCGTGTGCAGAATGGAGATGATACTCCTTGGTGAGTGAATACGCAAAGGATGACCGTGAAGCACACATCCAGTAAATGGTAGCTATCCAAGGGCCAGTTTCGTCTTTAAAACAAGAGGCTTTTTGTTTGTGTGTTTGGGTACTTACTGACGCTTTTGGTTTGCACCTGCGATGAGATGCTCCAGTTTGGCAAGCCCTGGAGTCTCAGCATCCCCTGGCTTCCCCGGAAGGATATTTGAGAGGCTTCCAGGGATCCTGGGCCAAATCTGAGCTGGCAGAGTGTACCTCTGCTGAGCTGGTGTATTTTCTCCCTGGCTTCCCGGAGTGGGGAGGGCAGCCCCGGAGGCCTGGGCAGCCTGTGTCTCCTCCATCCCGGTCGCCAGCCCTCCCTGGCAGCATCTCCAGAGGCAAGCCCGATGCTATTTGTGTCTTCTAAGCTCCACACCATGCTTTCAGTCCTGTTCCTCCTACACCTCCCGGAAGAGCATCAGCTGAAAGCCGGGTGGAGCACCGGGTGGGGGGGGGGAGCACCGGGTGGGGAGTGAGACTACAGAAGGGGTTCTGCTATCCGGGGCGTCCAAGGCTCTCAGTGAGCCAGGGTTCTGCCTCAATGTCCCCAGTTGACTCTCAGGTGCCTTCCTGCCCACTCAGCTGCTACCATGATTGGGCGTGGTGAGGACTTCATCCAGCATCTTTGGTGGTGTCTCTGAGGAAGGGGGCTCTTTTTAACTGGACTAGGATTTCAGGTGCTCCCATCCCCATCTGGGTCCTGCTGCTGAATTTTCTTTTCTGTTACCCAAGTGAAGTCATCTGGGACAGTATGAGGTCATTTTGAATCAACATGGAAAACAATCCCCATTAAGTGGCACTACTTACCACGCACCCACAATGTGCCAAGTCCTGCATTTTTTTGAGACATGTTCTCATATAGCCTAGGCTAGCCCGGAGCTCCATATGTAGCTGAGGATGATCTTGAATTTCTGATCATTCTGCCTCTACTTCCTGAGTTCTGGGGTTATAAACATGTACCACCACACCCAGTTTTTTACAGTGCTGGCGATTGGACCCAGGGCTTGGTGCACTGTAGGCAAACTCTCTACCCACTGAGCCCCCCAGCCCTGAGTCCTATGGTTTAAAACTTCATTAGACTCAATACAGTCACTGCTCCTCTTAACCCTATGGAGTGGGTACTATAGTATCTCCACTATACAGATTGGGAAACTGAGGCTTGAGAGACAAGGTCATAGACAAGCTAGGTTGAGCAATCCTAGCTCAACCCTTCTGGTTGGTCCTCAGAATGATGTCCTTAACTCTATATGGTGTCTTCCCTGGGCCTGTCCCCCAACTCCCTGTCTGTGGACCTAAAAATACATATTCCATTTTATTGTTTTCCATGCACATGAGTATGCCGCGGCGTATGCACGGAGGTCGGGAGGCAATACTTGGGGGTCAATTCTCTCCCTTCGTTGTGTTTTTCTGGGGATTGAACTCGGACCATCAGTCTTGGCAGCAAGCCTCTTTACCTACTGAGCTGTCTTGCCAGCCCCAAATCCAAACCTCCATTTAAGAGTTTAAGCTTAGTAGGTGGCCTCTCCAGCAGACTCCTTCCTGCCTTGTTAATCTGCATTTCTGTGCTGGCAATGTTGGCTGTGGCGGAGGGGGAAGGCATGAGGCCTCCCAGGAGGCTTTGCTTCCTCTGTGGGACAGTTTTGCTGGAACTGAGAACCCAGGAGAGCCCCAGGCTGTGCAGAGTCCCAAGCTGCCTTCTGCAGCTCCATCCCCAGAGTCTAAGAGCTCACCTATCCTCCACCCTCTCCCCGGCTCTGCCCTGTTCAGGATGGGAGGATAGAGAGATAGTGGCCAGGAAAGAATCTCCTCCCACTGCTTCCCTTGCACACATTCCCGCTTCGGGCGCAAGGCGGAGGCTCCCGGTCTGTTCTCCGAGATTAGCTGAAGCAGACTTCAAGGAGTTAAGGATTGAGGCATGGCTCTGCTGGGTGGCTTTCTGTCCTGTGGGGCATCTGGGTTGCTCACTGTGTTCAGCTGGCAGTAGGATTGCACGACACTGGAGGGTCCTGTGTCTTCTTGCCCTCACCTCACATCCTTCCTTCTTCACTAGCCCACCCCTGCTCGGCTCCTTTATAGTGAGGCTTCAGGAGTGCAGAGGTGGAGTTCACCAAACGTCTTTGTAGCCAGGTCTGGGACTGAGACCATGGTCGAAGGTCCCATCTCCTTAAGAGAAGAATGGCTGGTGGGTGCAGGGGAAGATGTGACTGGTGTGCACACAGGGGGACTTAATGGGAGGCTGCAGGGGCTGTCCCAGGGGATCTGCATCAGACATACAGCCTCAGGAAAAAAAACCCTCTCACCCCACGTGTTAGCAAACACAGCCATGCCACATCTCCATGAAACGCGGCTGCTGGGGGCTGCCTCTGAGTGGGAAAGGGCTCTGGCTGAGTCAGAAAGGCACGCTGATTGTCACTGGACTTTCAGAACGCGCTAAGTCCGGAATAAACCGTTTGCCTAGAAAAGTCGTCCGCACCCCCACTCTGTCTACGTGACAGCGTCTCTGTCCATGAGGCTGCCCTTCCGTGTCCCCATTGTGCTTCCTTGTGTCTGGATCCCCTCCAAGGCATTTGCACGTATCCTGCCTGCAAAGAGGCAGCAGCTGGGTGGCTCTGTTCGAGGTCAGCGTCCAGAAACAGACGGGCTCAAAGAAAAGTAATTAGAGTTGTCATTAACCTTGGCATCCCAACTTGATGATGGAGGAAGAAGCCAAGAGATGAAGAAAGACCTGTTGTGACAGAACCCACTGTGTCCCTGACACTTCCCCGTTGGGGTTCACTACCCCCTCCCAACGGTTGGACACGGAATTTTTCCACAGTGTTTGTCCTTAGGCAGGTGTCATTCTCATGGCTGGGCAAGGACACCGCCAGCCAGGTCGGTCTCTCCCCTTCTACACCAGCCCTTCCTCCTTTAGTCTGGAGCCCTGGCCTTCGGGGGAGGGGTGTGAGTCAGGGTCAGGACACCCAACATTGTGGACATTGTTATACACGTGTTCATTTTTTTCACAAGAAGTCGATTTTTATCAGGTTTAATAGTACTCTGTAACCTCCCAGTGTTAAAAACTGCTAAGGACTGCCTCAGTTTCCCCAGGTGTTAGGTAAGTGTTTTCAGCCTTAGCTATATGGAGTGGTACATGCCTGTAAT